TTTATATTATTCACGTTACTTGGATCCAGTTTTTTTTTTTTTGATACCGAGTTCATTTTTTTCAGTAGTAATCGAAGGAATCTGGTAGTATATTTTAATACTTATAGTCTAAATTTTCTTTATCAAAATTTAATAAATCTAAATAAATTAATAAATTAATTGTATTCAAAATTCTGTTAAACTATTAGCTATACTAAGTTACATATTTATTTTTTCAAATTTTAAATTTTTAAAGTTCCACACGCACCCTATTAGATGATAATGATGTTCGATCGATGCGTCCTGTAGCGTTCAATCCCCAAAAAGTAAACCAGAATAATGGAATAAACCAATTTAAAAATTAAAAAAAAATGAAAAATTTGAAATTAAGGATAATTAAGAAACTAACCGCTGCGAAGGTAACAAATACAGCATCTTTAAATTATTATTTAAAGAATTCGTCTGGATTCATTTCTTATCAATTAAACTGGTTTTCATAACATGATCAGAAAATTGGTTAAAATTGAATTTAAAACTAAATGGTATATCTGATTTTAAACTCTAAAAATAACTATTAAAAACAGCTTTTTATATTCAAAAACTTAATACAGATGCCTATTCAAAATATCTATTACTTAAAAATGAACTTTTTTAATGGTTTAAAGAATCTCAAAGTCAATTGAAAGTTGTTTTTCATATATAATTCAAACAAAAGCATATCCCTTAGCCAAAAATCAATAAAGTGAATTTTTATCTATATTTTATTTTATTGAAAGAATCCATTATCTATAATTAGGAAGATGAATGAAATACTACTAATATTATTTATTTTACTAAAATTACAACAGTTGAATAATACAATACTAAAATTCTTTCAATTTTATCAACTGGGCATAAGCATATATATTTTACTATTGTTTTAAGTTGTATAACTGATAAAATAAAATTTATCACTTGTAATTATTTTAAAACTTATAAATATTTCTCAAAAGAGTTTCCTAATAGAGTAATTATTCACGCTAATTCTCAAAGTTAAATGAATAAAAATAATCTCTTTTGTATTAGATTCTTTTACTACATATAGAACTGATGTTATAAAATTTAACTTAATAAAAAAATATTGATTTTATTATTATTCTAAATAGGTTAACTTCTCATTTATAATACTTAAATATTGTATTTGTCTGAAAATAAGCATCACCCAAAAATAAGCATCACTATTTTATATAAAATTCGTAAATAAGCACCCGTTTATGCCGATCAGAAAATTATAGCAAATCGGCTGTAAATATCAACCTAAAATTTTATCATTAAATTACTTTTTAAATTTACGACAGAAATTTTATGTATGCTATATTGTAGTTTAAAAATAAACAAAAAAATTAAATTAATTTTTTTTAAACAGTTAAATTAAAATCATATTTGACCTCATATGATTCATCACGAAGTAGGTTTTTATCTACATTTCCTTTAATGTTAATGAACTTTCATTTATTTTCCATTCCAAAATCCAATAAATAAGACGGTGTGATTTCATACGCACATGTTTCTGATGATCCATAGTAATAATATTTTCTTTATGCTGTAAAGACGAAGAAAGGTTATAGAGCGAGAAGAAGAATTTAATAACAAGATAACTATTAGAAGTAAACGGTTAGAAAACAAGAAGAAGTAACTAAAGTTAAACAAGAAATTAAATGGATGTAAAACATTGAATTAATGATTTATGATTCCAGATAACGCTTATTGCCAAAATAATAAAGTTTATTAGTAATAGAAATACTTCTTTAAATTAGACACATTCTCATTTGTACTAAATAACCATCTTACCAACTTTACCCAAATCCTCAAAATTCTCAAAATGTGACGTTATTTAACTTTAATTCAAAGTTTCTTGAGATAAACCCTTGATGCATGTTCAGATAAAAATAAAAATAATGTATGTTACAGTATTTACGATATTATATGGATGTCATTTTAGATCTTTAATGTCGCTAATCTTAGAAGATATTTTTAAGGAGAATTTAAGATTAGAAAGGTTTGAATGAAAGTAATTCATCTTATTATATTATATTTATTTGTTAACTAGATTATTATATAGGAATACTACATCTTAAGAATTGACAGTAATCAATTCTGTCCTTTATTACTCGATCGACACACTTCAGAGAATCTTTCATAATGTACGGCCACAATATGGAAATCAGCTAGAGACTCTAACCTCTGTTTATGATATGATAACTTTTAAATTTATAAAAAATTATTTTGGAGGTTTGCTATTAAATTCACGTTACGGATCATATGATTTACTATGCTCCTAACTCGATTTTATAGCAATCCTCCCATTTATTAAACATTGAAAAATAATTTAAAGTTTTTAGACGTTATTTTTCCAGGTTTAGATTAAAAGTATCATTACAAACATTTTCTTTTTTTTTATATCACTTCATATTTTGTCACTTCGTGGCAAATCACCAATCAAATGCATTGCTATTGTAACTGTAAAGCTACGGTATGATTTTTCATCCCTGATAATTATAAACTTTCTACACTTTATTTTATGCCTGCCTTTTACAATTTTTGTCCTAACGCAGTTGCATGTCAAAAGTAAAATTAATAAATTTTCATTAATAAATCTTATAAAATATTTTTTTGGTAATATGAAGTTTAGATCATGCTCGATTAGAGAAATCTAGGATTGTTATTTTCGGGAGTGTTTTTTTATAACACAATTATTGCATAAGGTACCTCTCGCTTTTAAAAAAACCAGACCGTTACAGTTTCTGGACAATTAAAGAAATTTGTCACTGGTACCACGTTACGTCTTGGAATTGGTGACGTAATTTGACCTGTACCTATGGTCATTGTTGATAAATAATTCTCGAAAATTTGATGTGTTTTTTTTGTTTGTTCTTTCATAAATTATTTTGAACATTAATTATAGAATAAATATTTTTTCTTGAGAAAATTTATCAATTCCTAATTTAATAAAACAGCCTTTAAACATCTGTATATAGCATATTTCATAAAGTAAAAATAAAGGTTTTATTTTTATAAAAAAAAATATATGATTAATTTGTGTGTAAGCAATTATTTTCGATGGTTAGTTCGAATTTCGTACTAATATTCAAATCTTCAAATAATCCTGTAAATACAAACGGATTTTTTTTGGCGTTTGTGACAGACAGCTCAATAATTTTCAATTAATAATTTTTTTGTGGGTTATTTTTGAGGGATAATTCTTTTTTATAGTTTAGAAATTTATATATATTATGTGACAATATTATCAAAGTACAAATAAAAAGGACACCCCAATTTAATTAATATCATGCTGTAATTAAACTGGAAATTAAAAGTTCCAATTACAAACATCAAACCAAACCAGTAACACTATATACCATACAATCGCATCCTCAAAATTTCCTTTTGCCAATCTCTTTTACTAAGTATTACTGTTAATACATAATGATAACATCCATAATTAATATACAGGTAATGTATTATAATGCAAGTGAATAATGATGTCGTAAAAAAAAAATAACGATTTACCTTAAAATTAATTCCAAAGTATCTCATGACCATCTTTGTTGATATTTTATTGTAAAAGTAATGGAGAACTGAAATAGCATTCTATTGTATCAGAAGTAATATAACCAAAATAACATCAATCCACAATAAAATTTAACTGAATGTTATCAAAATGGGATAGGAAATTGAAATGAACTTAAAAATATCATTTAATTGGTATGGAAAGCAGATAATAATATACTTGGCTAAATGTTATAAAAATGGATAGTATTAAAAGAATTAAGAAAAAAAGCAATTTATTGGTATTAGGAATCTGCAAAAATTGAAAATAAAATTTAACGCTAGACCATCAAATACTGCGGTAATTATTAATTTTGCCGCACAATATTTTTGATATATATATTTATTTTCCTTGCATTATAGATTAATTTATTCTTCAACGTTCAATTCTTTACGGTACTTTTATATATTATACTTCCTTATTATCGAAAGTTTAATTTTTGGTCGATCAAAAGTATAAATGAAACTATTATACAATTTCCTAATTAATTAATTTGTCAGTTTCAAAATACATAATTTACTTTTTTCATTTTTTCTTGTTTAGTACAAAATAATAAAAAAGTTTAAGTTGTTGTAAACCAATTGTCACTTAATATAGTGTTGTATTCAGTTCTTCGTTTATGTATTTACAGTATAAACAGTTTGTGTTGTAAGCAGAAGGTATTACAGTTTGTATCATTCTTATGTTTATCATTACATAAATAAGATTTTTTTCCACTACCTAAACGTTCAAAAAAATGACCTCCTTGTAAATTAAAACATTTTGAACAATGTAATTGAATAAAAAATAAAATAATATTGACGCTAAATTTATTTAATTTTATCAATTCGATCAGTTTTTCCACAACGTCGGCGCTCTACTCTTCAAAATATTAAAAGATCACTAATTAATAATTGATCGGCAAATAAATTATATAACGTGAATTTTTTTCTCAAGAAACATGCCCAAACTTTAACGAACTTCTATTTTTTATATTTTGATCTATATATATTTCAATACTTTTTTTTTTACAATAAAACACTTTAAAAAAAACTTTATTATACACGACTTTCGCCTATTTTTTTAGCTTTAACCTCCAGATGCAACCCCTAAACGAAAAATAAATATAGATTTAAATTACCAATTATACGTAATTTTTTACGCGCAATCGAGTTGCTTAGGCGCTAAAAGGTGATTAGATTAGTAATTTTTGATGTAATTGATGAATTTTTATTTTATTACTATACTAACTTTGTAAAATTAAGAATATAACTTATAAATAAATATTTTTAATATTTTTTTTTATTACATTTTATTTGTCTTTATGATAATTCCACCAGTCTCGCACTTTTTTCTTAGTCCAAACTTCCGACAATTGATTACAAACAGAAGCAATAGCATCATCTGGCAGTTTATCTTTATATACTTTTAATACAGAAAGTATTTTCGTCTCTTAATCAGTAGTTCGATGTTTTTTTTGTTTAGGTTGTGGCTTAGCAGCATCAGATAAATGGTCTGTAGATTGTTCGTTCAAATTTTCATCAGCATTTTTTTGTTCTCCACCCAAAAGATCTACTAGCCAAATGTAATGTCAATAAGTCAGAAACATCAGGACGAAACAATCTTTTGATACCGAAAAAAAATTATTTATTAAATATACTGTTTATTAAGATACTAAAAAAAAATGTTTCATAAATCATTTTTTAAAAAAAAACCCTCTTTAAAGAAATAAAAGCTAAAAGAAGTACTAATAAAGAAGCATTACTCTTTCCTAGTTCTCCGTCCAAAACCAAAGATCTAAATAAAAAAAATAGTTAGGAACGAAAAAAGAAAATAACTAATAAAATAAAATAATAAATATTACCTACAATGATGAAAATCTCTAGAATCATTAGAATCGGTTTTAGGAATCGGTTTATAAACCAAAGGCGAACGATAAAAAAACATTATAAGGTATACAAGGCTTAGCATTTAACAAATCACGTAATTATTATTTTATTTTTTATAAGAATCGGAAAGATTTTTAAATAATATCGTAAATTTTCCACCGAAATTGCGTTGTTACATGACTCGTGCGTAGCATAAAAAGAGTTTTCCTTGATGTTTCCTAATTTTTTTTCGCCACATAATATACATATATTATATGACTGAATTTCCCCTGCATACTCATCAAAATGTCACGGGATATATTTTGTCACCGGGTCACATCACTCCGCGTTTCATTTTTACTAAGCAGAAATTTTGAATAGCTAAAAATCAATTGTCACGTACTTTACGTCACATATACAATTTGATGGGTACGCAGGGAAATCCTTAATCTATTACAACGTTTATTAAGTAGAAATATTACCATTAAAATTACATTATAAACTAGTTTTGACTCGATTTCAGGAATGTACGACAACTTTTCTTTAAACTTTTATTATTTATTCAATATGAGAAAATCACAATGTCATGCACATTGCCAAAAGAATCTTCGTCGACAAGCTGATAAGCCTACGATTACAAAGAAATTTCAAACTATCTGCTGACTCAACTTTCCCGAGGAAATTTTACTTTTCTTATCATGATTTTATATGATTAACTCGACAATATTTTTATATCGAGAGGGATGTCGTACGCTTTTGCCGATCTTGTGTAGCTTCTCTTTTTTTTTCAGTATTCGAATTGGGTTTTATTAATTTTCTTTGTTTTCTTTATCCTTTTAATATGCATTTATTTTTTATTTTATTTCTTTTAATTAAATAAAGTTTTGCATAATATCGAATTTTACCTCTTAAAAAATTCTGTTCTGCTTTTCCCATTATAAAATTTAAACTTTTTTTCGTGATCTAAGTTTCTAATTGAATCTACTAATAATTTTTTAACGAAATTTTGTATATCAAATATCGAGAGGGACAAATTTCTAAATAAATTAATTAAAATCCGCGTTAGAGAAAAAAAATTATTTTTTTTTTTTTTATTTAGTAAAATTTCCTTTTTAAAATGTTCTAAATTTTTGCGACACGATGCAAACCTTTCCAATAATTGTTTGTCTTATAGAGGAATGGCTTCGTAAATTATTTATTTATTTTTTTTTTTTTGCCCACGTTATCTTTTTTTTACTTGGTGATTTCGAGAAAAAGTGCGAAGTGTTTACCCGGGTAAATCAATTGGAATAAATCGGCAAATTCTTTGAAAAAACTTTAGAGCATTGAACGGAGCTAAGGATGGGGACGATTCTAAAGACGACTCAGAGTCGATTTCTTACCAACTTTAAAAATCGAACCGGAACCGACTCCGAACCGACTCAAAGTGTCTTCTTCAAATTTTGATAATTATATACCGAATTTGTTTTTAATTGATCAACATCACGTTCTATTTGAAAATTTAACTAGAACTATTTATTTAGGAGAGCCGAAGCAGAACCGAAGAGAAACTGAAATGGAACCGAGAGAATCGTCCCCAACCTTAAACAGAGCAGACGAATATAGATTTTATAAATGAATAAAAAGGGTCTAAACAGTTTACTAGCTAAAAATCGGGTTGAAAAACTTACACAAGATCTTTTAGAACGCTCAAAATGCATTTTTCGTGAAATAATTAAATAATTTTCTAAAATTACGATAATTCATGCCTTTGTTTATCTGAAATTTAACATTTATAAAATATTCATTCAATATATTTTATACTAATTTGTTAAAGTTTATCTTTTACCTCATTTTTTAACACAAAAACAGTTTATTAAAAGTTGTTATTGCAATAAAATAATTAAAAAGAACTCATATCTCCAATTAAGTGATTTGAAATTTAAAATTATTGATGTAATGTAAAAAAATAAAATAAAATAAAAATAACATATTAAATGAAGGATGACAAAGGAGTAGTTGAATTCAACAAAATCGAAAAAGATTGAAGGGAACTTTTTCTTTCAAAAGTCGACACAATAAACAAGAATCTCTCGGCTATTATTTCTATGATTTTAAAATTTTGATATTAAAACAAAATTAAACAATACAACATAAAAATTAAGATTAAGGTTACACAAAAGTACCTTCATTTAATTTTAAATCAACTTTATGGATGCTTCGGATGTTTTGGATGTTTTGGATGTTTAGGTTGGTCTCTTTTAAGAAGTACACCATCTCCGTGTGGTGCAGCATTGGAAACTGTAGTAGTATATACAACTATTAAAGATAATATCAAAATAAACATAAGAGAACTTCATTTTAAAATTTTTTTGAGTAGAGTCAAATTTTTAAAGAATTTTTAAATTTTTAAATTTTTAAATTTCTGAAGGGACGATGGAGTGAAAAAAAAAGAGGACTTTATATAAGAAATTGTAAGCAAAGTTAAAAGAAGTAAATGTAGGGATTCATTAAAGGCGGCGTAAAGTGTATTTTAAGAATTTCCAATTGTTTGTATAAAAGCTTAAAGCGTAAAATACTAAATACAAACTTTGAAGATAAATATTGACTGTCTAGAAACTTCTAATTTTAACATAGTCGTATGATATCAACATAATAATATAATATAATAATAATAGATCGACAGGAGTGGCAATTTAGCAAACAAACAATTCGTTGTAATAAAAGTTTCTTAAAGGCAGATGAATTATATTTTTAACAATGTAACCCTAGTTAAGCAATAAGCAAAGATGACTTCGATAATATTAACCTAAATATACCGGAAACAGTTGACGAGCAAAACCAGAAATTGAGCATGTTTGACGTCTTGAAAATATTGGCAAGGAGAGATGTATTATCTCAAAGGGTATCATATGGTTCTATTATTTCAGATAAAAAATGGGACAATTTATACCAATCTAATATTACCTTTCACTTTCATTTGGTGTCGATGATAATCGAAGTGGGCCCGATGATATGTCATTCGATGCTAAAGTTCGTCTAGATGTTTGTATCTTTGTTGGTTTATTTAAAGTTTATGTATTGTAATGATATTATTAATCAGTTTGATGTACAAAGGTTTGCAAAAAAAAAAATGTGCGCCAAAACTTAAACTTGCGAACGAAAATAACGAAAATACTAATTTGATCAACAAATGGGAAGTAAGCTATTGAAATCACGTTACGGATCATATGATTTACTATGTTCGTAACTGATTTAATAGCAAACTTCCAAATTCTGTTTAAACACCAATGGTAAGTAACCAACGTTTGTAAACACAAGCATGTACTTGTATGACAAAAAAACAATACTATAAATACATTCAAAATCATACAGGTTTGCTATATATACCTAGGTCTACCACTATCATAGAGACACGACAAAAACGAATTCTTTATTAAAATGAAAGAAACTTTTATGAATGTTTTCATTAGAGCTCACGGATTCGTGCATTGACTAAAAATTTTGCATAACGTGAATCGCATTTTTGGCGATTTGCATTTTCACGTGACCTTATATTTTACAAAATGGTTATGGCACTGGGGAGATTCTAATTATCAAATTCGCATTCGTTTCGAAAATGAAAAATTATACTGTAAATATTGACGATCATGTAGTATAACTGAATAGGAAATTTATTGTGGTTTGGTAAAAATTTTTTGAGGAAGGTGATTGGATTTACATAAATCAATATTGGCAATAAAAAAAAAGAATTTTCAAGAGTAGCATTATTTATATATAGTGTTGTTTTCAGTTCTTTCGTTTATGTATTTATAACAATTTGTATTGTAAGCAGAAGGTATTGATTGAATAAATTGAATATTTTTAAGTAAAGTAAAGTAATTATGACAAGTAATACATTCCCTTCGAAATCCTTCCTTTAACACCTTTCGCGATATTTTCGCTTTCGCCGTTTTAACTTTTAATTTCGTAGTTGTATCTTCGTTTATTATTTCCGATTTTATGTTATTTTATATTTTGTAATATGTTCGTAATTGCGCAGTTTTAATTAATTAGAATTTGGCATTTACTTAGTTTAATTTATTGATCAAGCGAAAGTATAGAGCGACGATGTTGAGGCAACACTGATTAATTTGATAATAATTCAAGAAATATATCAAGGGCGAACGTGGATATTGAGTTGTTTGAGGATTTCCAGCTCGTAAATATATAAAAAAAAAATAATTAGGCCAGCCTGGCGTCTTGAGCATTTTGTCATACTAGCACCTTGACAACCTGGCACCTTGACATCCTGGAAAATGATCTTCAAAGGACTAACTGCAAATATCGAAAGCGATTTTCATGCGGAATATGGAGATTTCGGCCGGAATTACATTCAATTGTAACAATAGTTCGCTTTCAAAAAATGTTAAATTTCTTATATTTATAACAAGGAAGGCTTGAGGTATAATTCAACGTTCCACATTAATATCCTGCTGTCCAATACTTTTGGAAGCGAAAGAAGAACTAAGGACTCAAATTCATAAAAAAAGAAAAAAATAAATAAATAAAATCATTCAGTCGCCGTGCCTCGAAGCGATCAAAAAAATATAATGATTCAAAAAGAAAAACTTTACCTAGCGATCCAACCCGAGTTACATAAAAATAAAAAAAATCCCAAGGTAAAGCACCAAAACTCAGTATAAATATAATATTTCTTTCTGTAAACCTTTTTATTATTTATTCTTTTAAAAAAAAAGTTATAAGTCTAATATTAATTATGCATGAATAAATTCTTGGAAGTTAACATAAACGTTATAGTTTCTGGATAAATTTCGTTGTTTTAGATTTTTTAATTATTATTCTATATAAAACTAGTTGTGGAAAATGAAACAACACTATGATAATAAAGTTTTTATTACTCGTCTGTTACAAAAAGTTTTGCGAGAATAGGTTCATAACGATCAGATTTTTTTTCAAATTTTATGTCGTACAAAACATGGTGTAATATTATTATCTGTTATCACTATTATAATTTATTAAAAATAAAACAGATTTTTCGGGAAGCTTTTACGCTTTTGTTGATTTAGGCGTATTTCCCATCAAAAATGTCACGAATCACGAAAATTCACGTGATATATTTTGTCGCCGATGTCACTTCCCTCCGCGTTTTCATTTTTTACTAAGTATCAGTGATGTCGGCCATTTCGTGACAATTTTTACATTTTCTGAGGGTACGCAGGGGAAAAAACCTGTGTCATCCGTTTTAATAACTTGTTCATTAAAATTATACCATGAACTAAAAAAAAAATTTTTTTCTTTTTAAAAATTCATTATATACATCAAGTACTGTATAAACATTATAATATTTTCAATTGAGCAGTTTAACTAATTTATATGATTGAGCGAATTTGAAAGTTAGCATAAAGTATCATTTTATTATCGATTATCTAATATTCGATTTTCGTTCGATTTATTTATTGCTTAGAGATTTTTTAAATCACAAATTGAACGCGAGCAATATGTATTTACAAAAAAATACCTTCATTTTCAAGAAAAAATTATTATTTATCAAAAAAATATTTGCATTTTCATAAATTTTTACATTTTATGATAATAAGATATAATTAAGGCTTCCGGTAATTCGATTATATTAAGATAATGTGCTTCACCCCTTATTGGTGTAGCATTCTTATTTATTTAATTTTATTTTCATGTTTATTTTCATTTTGTTAAATTATTTTGATTTTTTTTTTTTTATTCTTAGGTTCCTCTTTCGACTTTAATCTCTTCCAAATGTGTTTTTTTTTAGTTTTTAGATTCTTTTTTTTATTATTTTCGGTTTCGCGATCAAATATTTATATTTTCCGCCATGTTGATTTATCATTCCTTTTTTTTTTTCTAAAGATTCCTCTTAGGAATAAATTAAAGGTTTTTCTTTTTTTTGATTAAATCGTGCATTGATCAAATATACAGGATGATTGTTGGAATTGGTTAAAGATTTTTTGCCGTTTTAGAATAAAAAAAAAAAAATGAAAAATGAAAAATGAAAAAAATGAAAAACTCGTCAAAAGCTTTTTTCTTTAAAGTATTTGGAGGTTTGCTATTAAATCTGATAGTAAATCATATGGTCATTTAAAAAAAAGCTGATTGGATACTTTCCAGTAGGGGTGATGTGAGTGATTTAAAACATTTTTTCATCACGAAAAATTTATTCTGATCGAATTAAAAAACACTACAAAACAAAATCCTCATTTAAAGATAAAATTCCTGAGATAATTAAGACAAAGAAATTGGTGGGAAGATTCCGCAGTCATTCATTCATATTTTACCGGTACCATTACGAAAAGTAATGATTTTTTTTTAACAGATCTAATTCAACTCATGTAAAATTTAACAATGTTCAATTCTTTAGATTAAACTTCCAAAGAATTTCAAGCGTGAAAAAAGTTCAGGGCTTGGTCGTTAGTTTATTAGAGGATAGGACGTCTTCATATCGCAAGAAATGCTTTCCCGCCCTGTAATTTATCATCTCGACATTGACAGTGTATTATTAACGATTTATTAATAAATCATCGGTTGTTACTGTTGTCGTGAATAAATTATTAGGTTGCTTTCATACATTTCCCGAATATGAAAATCGTTCCTTAATTTACTTATTTTTACGAAATATAGTTTCGTTAAAGAGAAAATAAAATTAAAGACAATTATGATTTAAAATGCAAAAAATATTTATTATTAGCTTCACTAATTCTAAGCATAAAACGCAATTGACAACATCTGATTTCTATTGAGTGTGTAGGAGGTGAGGGCCCCCGTTTAATCTTCTCTTTTCGATTTTAAAATCGAAAAGAGAAGATTAAACGGGGACCCTCACTCCCTACACACGAGAGAAACATCACTGAATTCTAATTGAACAATTGAAACCCATATCATCTATTCTAAAAGCTTGCTGCAAGATTTAGACAATTTTTTTCATATCGGTTTTCACTTCCGATATTTCAGATTTCATCTCTGTTACGTCTGTTCTAAGCTCTGTAATTTCGGTTTTCATTTCTGTTATGTCGGTTCAAATCTCTGATATATCTACTTTAATTTCTGCTATTTCTGAACTTTGTAATCGTGAAATCTCTAATTCTTGACAATCCAATAAATTATATTGGCATGGATCATTAACTTTCCCACGTATGCCAAAATAATTTTTATCCATCCTTCTGACTGCTTTGAGCTTGAGAATTAGATGACTTGTTCAAACTTCCAAAGTTCATAATTTCAGTATTAATGCATGCGCGATTATAATACTTAAATACTTTAATATAGTATACATGTATATATGTATATATAATGCCTTAGAAGCACGTTGGTGAAATAACCTGCCGATGTTGAAGACATAATCCTGCCGGTGAAATTTTCTCTAGGTGAAATTAATGTCGGTGAGTTTGTCGGTGAGATGAACCGGACTTTTTTTTTTTTTATACAATTTATATTTAACTTGTAGGTTATGGTAGAATGGAATGGATATCTCAAACGGCTTTGCTACGGTCACAATGCTTTATTTGGTTCGCGTGGCAAACCAGTCTATAAATAAGGGCAAGCTTAGTTTCATACACACAAAATTTATCATACTTTTTTGATGTTTCGGAGAAGATTTTTTCTAACATTAATTCCAGCAATTTATTCGTAAAAATTATTTTTATTTATGCTTTTTTTTTTTGAAATTAATTATATATTTATAATAAAGTATATTAATTAATATTAATATATTTCTATCTGCATAATATAACGTCAAAAACTTATTAATATTCAATTCCCTGTATTGGGTGTCTAAATCAAGGATTCATTAGCAAAGTATTTTTTTATTTTCTTAAAATGAATTAGGAAAATTCAAATTTATATTGAATGAAAATGACTTTATATTATATGTATACAGTACATCGAGAAGAATGACGAAGAAACAAATAAAAAAGAAAATTATTTCCATTCTATCGTACAGAGGGCCGCCAAAAGTCTCCGAACGCTTGGCTCAATAAATCATTTAAAATTTTTAAAATTTAATTAAAAAATTTATTAAATATTTATTAAAAATGACATATAAAATAAATTTCGTACTATTTAATTAGTACTTGGTCGGGCCTCCATTTCTTCAATTAAAGCCCGAATTCATTGTGGCATACTATCGACCAAATTTTCGATAGTATGTATGGAAATTCTCTCAATGACTTCTTAATATGTCGCTCTAGTTCAGCAATGTTAGAAGACATTTTTTTCCTTTCACGGATGCTTTTCTTGACATCAGCACACAGATTTTCGATCGGGACTTAAGCGGGCCATGAAAGAACATGCATATCATTTTCTGCATGAAAATTCTTCGCATGCTTCGTTTTGTGGGGCCGAGCATTATCCTCCTGAAAACTACCATCACCATTTGGAAATGCATTTTAAAGTAAGATTCATGTAAACAAGGTTCGAAACGTCATATGACCGCGGAATTGCTAAGTCACATGAAATTGCCGATATTGAATCGTACCTAAAAAGTGGTGTTCGGAGACTTTTGGCGGCCCTCTGTATTTTAAAATTATTTTACATAGAAAAGATACAAGTGATTTAATCAATTATCATGTACATTTATAATTATAATAAAAATTTTTCTTTTTATTTATTTAATCAAAAAATCAGGTACGGCTTCAATAACGCTAATATAACCTCTAGAATTTACGTGTTTAACATATTTCCATCCACTTTTCT